AAAGCCTGTGCCGCCGCAACAAAATTTCGGCAGCACTCTCGTACTACCGTAGTAAAAGTCTGTGCCGTCGCAGCAAAATTTCGGCAGCAATCTCGTACTATCGTAGTAAAAGCCTGTGCCGCCTGCCGTAGTACCGCTGTGCCACTGGGCCTGTCCCGTGGGACCAGCACTTGGGAAAAGGGGGGGGGGAGAGCAGAGTGCTCCCTGCCTTGGCTATGGCTGCCCAGTCCTCCTCCTGGTGCTCCTCTGCAGTCCTCCAGCTCCTCACGTTGCCTCAGCAGCAGCTCCAACAGCCACAACACTCAAGTGTGTCAGTCACACACTCGCAGCACGAGTGCTTTGTGTGGCAACTGGGGGGCAGCTACCTTTTTTATATTGGTTGAAGAGAGTTGGACGTCACTCCAGCCCCCAGGCAAAAACGCGGGCTCACAGTTAGCCCTTGATCTGGCCTAGATCCAGGGCTGACTGTGGCCGCACCACAGCCACAACCTTAGTGTGGGGCAGTTTCTTTAACTGCCCCATTTTTATTTTTATTTTCTTTTCCCCAGCTATCTCGGAATCTGGCGAGATAGCTGGTCTCCTGCCATTTCCAAAAGTGTTTTTCTTTTATTTTTATGATAAAGGGTTGAAAAGATACAACCCTTTTCAGTTTGAAACTGGACCCTTTTTCCAGGGCAGATACATCGAGGAAAAGGCTGCATCTAGCCTTTTCCTTAGTGGCCTTTGATTTTCTAGGCTTCCTGCAAAAACGGGAGCCTGACAGTTACCTCTGGCAGCTTGTGCCAGAGGTAGCACCACGTGAGGACAAGTGTCCTCACATGAATAAAGAAAGAGAAGAAATAAAAAACGAACTACKAATTTTCATTGTTCCTGGCTCTTACCTCAGCCAGGTGCATGCAGTTGCATGCAACACCCTTCCACCTTTTGCTCTGCCCTCCTCTGAAAACGAGGACCTCTAAAAACGAGGAGGGCAACTGTCAGTTTGGGAGGAGTAGGACCTCCTCCTCCCAACTCTCACGTCCCTCCTCCCTCTCTCTCCCTTAGTCCCATCTCCTCGCGCGTATGCTGTGGGCCGTGAGATATGAGATCTCACGGCCACAGCAGTACTTCCCAAATCAAAAGGGGGAGCTTTTGTGCTCCCACGCAGTCTAAGAAGACTGTACTTCACGAGGTAGTTGCCTCGTTTGCTTTACTTTTTTTTTTTTTTTTTTTTTTTTTCCCCCCCTCAGTTCTTAGTTTCAACCCTTCCCCGTTTTTGTTTTGTTGGTCGTGCCTCAACGGTCACGAACGGGGAAAGGGAGAGATCAGAAACCAAAAACAAAAAAAAAACAGCGTCTGTATTCTCCGACGTTCCAGCAGTAGATTCATTCGATTTTGCTCACCTCGTCGGCTGCAGTCCCATGGCCAACGAGGTAGGTAGGTAGGTGGGCTCAACTCTCTCTCTCTCTCTCTCTCTCTCTCTCTCTCTGTGTGTGTGTACCTATGCGCCTTAGGTGCCAGGTTCGGGCATTAGCAGACTGTCGGGGTCCAACCCCCTGATGAGTCGGTGGGAATCCGACGAAA